AAAGCAATAAATGATAGACATCATAATGATCATTTTCATATTTTATATTTAAGCTTGTTAAGACATGTTGTGTATTATATATATAAAAATCATAAAATTAATAAAAATAACATATATTTTGTCTCTAGTAGACTTTTAGGGCTCCCACAACACTTGACTTGTTTTATTTACGAATTACAATTTAATTTACTTGTACTTCATAATACCAGTAATCTTATCTGTTCCATTAGCTAAACTGCTATCTACATTACAAATATAAAATTACATTAGTTTTTTTTAATCTAGTAAAATAGGGAAACTTTATTGGCAGGATTTTCTTAAGAGTAAATTTTCATTTTGAAAAACTAGCTGCTCGTGCTCTTTGTACCGAACCGTTAAAAAACTTACGTAATTTACGTAAGGAGGCGGCAGAATATTACGTAATTTACGTAAGGAGGCGGCAGAATATTACGTAATTTACGTAAGGAGGCGGCAGGATACAGAGTTTGCGTGATAATTTTTACTTATCAAATAAAACTGAATCACCGTGGTGCGTTCAAAAGCACAAGGAAATTAGACGCGTTTGCAACTTTTCCAACTTCAAAAGCGTAAGTTTTTTTTATTTCGGCGCGCAGTATTAGTTGCATTTGTACAGATTACTGAAATAAATACTGACAGTGTGATTAAGGATGTAGATAATCAGTATGTGAAGATTTTACCAAAGATAACTGTACCTACCTGCCCTCGAGGATTTATATCCAACACTTCTTGGGACTTGTGCTCCATTTTGTCGAAAGACAGCAGTTTGCTGTTGTACCCCTGAAGGTTCTTCTCCTCCAGAGCGATCATGACCCTCCAGCAGGGAGGAGAACCGGAGCCCCACAGCAGAGTTATGTCCTTGGCCATGGTTATAGGATTAGGAGGACTCTCCACAAATGAAGAATCTGCAAGACGAGGGACAGTCGACCACAACACACCAGAGCCCTGTAAAGAGCCTCTTTATAGGACTCTGCAACCCACCACAGCAGCTGCCTGTTTCTTCGATTCGAGCGCTTTCAAACTTTATTGAGAGCACGTGCTGCCACCTGCTGGTCAGGAGTAGAAACTACACCCACTGATGTTTAGCTTCAGAGTTTCATGCACGTTTTTACGGTGGCCCAAGGGTGTAATGAACAACAACAAAGTCAATAATCCAGGTATAAAATCCAACATTTTCCTGTTGTAATGAACAACATTTGAAAAAACGGAATTACATTTGAAAAAAATAGAATCACATTAAGCCAAACAGGAAGTTTTTTTATTTTATTTATTATTATTATTTTACTGTATTAACAGCATAAAACCAAACAAGAGAACAATATACAGTACACACAACAGAGATATGTGTGTACTGTATATTTAAAAAAAGTTGTCAAGTCCTCTGGATGTTCAAAAAACAACAACAATAAATAAATAAAATTGTAGAAACGTTTCGTCGCTCATCCGAGAGACTTCCTCAGTCTGAGGTGCTGTATTCAGCTCAGTCTCTTAAATAGCACCTTCTCAGAGTGGATCAACCAGTTTTGCTGCTGACAACCAAAACCAGCTGATCACATGCTCAAGAAGGACCATCAGCAGCAGTGGTGTAGTAGTGGGTATACTGTGCTTAGAAACCAAAGTACATCAGTTAGTACAATGTAATTGTTAACTTATTTATATTTTTATGCATATTGAACATTTCAAAAATTTCTCTGATGCTTTTATTTGAATAAATGTACAACAAACTTTGTACAACAGTTGACTTTGTATTAAAAACATAGAATTTATAAAACAGTATCAAAGCAAAACATGCTCAAGTATTAAGTAGTATATACAGAAGTATAAGAACCGACTCAGTGCGTCTATGAAATGTTCCAAATGTGTTGACAATGACACGAGCCCATGTCATGTATCATTGCCTATGACACATGACATGGGCTCGTATCATTGGGCACTTCTAAGTGGGTATACTCCTCATACCCGCGTATCGTATATACAAAGTACTACACCACTGACTGGCGGTGAGAAGTTGTTAAAAACTGGCCTCATGTGAAGAACAACTTTTGCTCAAGTCTGCCAGTGGGTCCTGACAGCAGAGCAGTGTAAAAGAAAATCACCAATGGGTTTCGAAAGGCAGCTGCGTGATGAAGAGGACGGCACAAGCTGAAGGGTGCATTTGCCTCGAAATGAATGTGATGCTGAGAGCGACAACAAAAGAGACTGGGGATGTGCGATGACGTTTATCTGAGGCTGTTCAATTCTGACATCGAAGAAGACTTTAGTGGTTTTAGTACGCAGGAGGAAGATGAAGATAGCCGTCAACGATTTTTCCTGGTAGGGTACTGTACCAGTACTTTATTTTTTTTAACCAGCTGCTTTACAGGCACTGTTCAGAAAAAACAAAACATTTACTGTACATATTTGTATGTTACCAGTATGTATTTAATTACATGTGTAGTGTCCTCGCAGGCATTTCTGTGGCCTTTTTGAGATCAACCCCCTCAGAGGCTTCCAGTAAATGTCACCACAGGACTCCTCTTCACCAAACTTTACGTTAAAAAAGGAACTCTTGACTCGGGTGTTTAAGGTATTTAACAGTATAATAAATAGTATATTAAATTTATGATTTTCATGTAAGCTGACATAACTTCATCTGTGTGTCTGTGCGTGCGTGTCATAAAATTAGAATATCATGAAAAAGTTGATTTATTTCAGTAATTCCATTCAAAAAGTGAAACTTGTATATTCATTCATTACACACAGACTGATATATTTCAAATGTTTATTTATTTTAATGTTGATGATTATAACCGACAACTAATGAAAACCCCAAACTCAGGTTCTCAGAAAATTAGAATATTGTGAAAAGGTTCAATATTGAAAACGCCTGGTGCCACACCCTAATCAGCTGATTAACTCAAAACACTTTCAAAGGCCTTTAATGATCTCAGTCTAGTTCTGTAGCTACACAATCATGGAGAAGACTGTTGACTTGACTTGACAGTTGTCCAAAAGACGACCATTAACACCTGGCACAAAGAGGGCAATACACAAAAGGTGCTAAAGAGACTGGCTGTTCACAGAGCTCTGTGTCCAAGCACATTAATAAAGTTTTGGGTCAGGCAGAACTCGTGAATTGCTGTTTCTGCCTTTAAAGTCTCACTGGTAAATATTCCTCTGACGGAACTCCAAAACAGCCGAATTGATTCTTTACGCCGAAAGTCGAGCGCACAGCTTCTCCAAAATGATTCCCACCTTTGTACGTGTTGCTATAAAGCTCACAGTCCTGAGAACAGCTGCACCAGCTCTCTGACGCAACTGCACATAATTCAGTCTGAGTGCTGTCGAGCTTCGACACATCCACACAAATTCGTAGACAATCCAGAATCCACCAGCCAAACAGCAAAAAAACAGCTGTCATCATGAATCTTTGTTTCCGTCGAGGTAAAAGGGTCCTCCTTACCCTGACTCCTGTCGGGAGAAGTTGATCAATTTTGTTGAGAGACCAGCTGAACCTTCGAACTAGGAAGGTATGCAGAAAAAAAGAGGCTCTTTAAGGGTTCACAGGATGAAATAATGCAAGCAGGGAGGGAAGGGGGAGGTACGGAGCGCCGGGAAAACACGTTTGTCTTCACTGGAGTAAAAATAGGGAAAACCACACCCTGGAGAGGATGGTGAAACAAAACCCATTCCAAAATGTGGGAGAGATTCACAAAGAGTGGACTGCAGCTGGAGTCAGTGCTTCAAGAACCACCACGCACAGACGCATGCAAGACAAGGGGTTCAGCTGTTGCATTCCTTGTGTCAAGACACTCTTGAACAAGTGACAGCGTCAGAAGTGTCTTGCCTGGGACTGCTGTTGAGTGGTCTAAAGTTATGTTCTCTGATGAAAGAAAATTTTTAATTTCCTTTGGAAATCAAGGTCCCAGAGTCTGAAGGAAGAGAGGAGAGGCACAGAATCCATGTTGCTTGAGGTCCAGTGTCAAGTTTCCACAGTCAGTGATGGTCTGGGGGCCATGCCATCTGCTGGTGTTGGTCCACTGTGTTTTCTGAGGTCCAAGGTCAGCACAACCATCTACCAGTAAGTTTTAGAGCACTTCCTGCTGCTGACCAACTTTATGGAGATGCAGATTTCATTTTCCAGCAGGACTTGGTGCCTGCACACTGTGACAAAGTTACCAGTACCTGGTTTAAGGACCATGGTATCCCTGTTCTTAATTGGCCAGCAAACTTGCCTGACCTTAACCCAGTCCTTCTCTAATAGTGGGGCGTGCCCCCCTGGGGGGGCCGGGGCAATGCCAGGGGGGCGCATGTGACCCTAGAAAACATGCTGTTTTTGCCGCAGGGAGTTTTTTTTTTAACCATTCTCATTTTGTCGCGTGCGTTCCTAAGTTATGAACAAATATGGCTGCCTTGTCTTTTTGGGAGCCACGCATGACTCGTGTCTCTGCTGCTGACATGATAAATAAACTCAGACCGTCACCTCCTCCACTGCTGTTACGGTGCACGCGCTCTGGACGTCTCTCACAGCGCGCATGCAACAAAGAGTAAACTCAAGCGAGAGCGACACCTGCCCCCTCTTTCCTCTTTTGAGTTGACTAAATGTTTCAGTTTTATCGATGAGTTTGTCAAAGCACAATTTACAGAAGTAATGTTTAATAAATGTTAGGACTCTACTACCAACATTAATTCGCCTCCTCAGTTCAGCTGCTGTTTTTATGATTCTCTGGACGCTTGTCACAGCTCGCAGGTGACAAAGAGTAAACTCAAAGCAAGATGATTACCTGCTCCGCTTTCCTCTTTCATGTTGACATTTTTTTGTGTGTTTTATCGATAAGTGTGCTCATTGATCCTGACTTCCTCATTTTGATAAAAATAAAATAAAAATAAAAAATCAGCATAAATTGTTTTGTTAATTATTGATTTTTTTAGGTCATTGTGTTTTATATAACACTCCTGAGCTAAAATGTTGCTTATCAATTTGAATTTATTATTATTTATTGATTATATGTATCAAATGATCCAAAATGTTTACAGTTTAAATAAGGATTGGTTTTTTTTTGTTTGTTTGTTTTTTTCAGGTAAATTGATGCACTGTAAGTTGTTTCTGTTACAGACTAAAAAACAATGTTAAAGTTGTTCTTCCTTGTAAGTTGATCTATATACTTTGTTCTTTATTTAATGTTAATAAGGACACAATGTTAGGCAGAGGTGTATTTATAACAATTTTATAGACATACTATTTACAGTCGCAGCGGAGAGTTTGGGATAACAGAAAATAACTGAGAAGCACTGCCTTAACTCCATAGGAATCTATGGAGTATTGTGAAGAGGAAGATGTGATACACCAGAGCCAACAATTCAGAAGAGCTGAAGACCACTATCAGATCAACCTGGGCTCATAACACCTGAGCAGTGACACAGACTGATCCACTCCATGCCACGCTGCATTACTGCAGTAATCCAGACAAAAGGAGCAACAACGAAGTATTTAGTGATGTACATGCTCATACTTTTCAGTTGGCCAACATTTCTAAAAATCCATTTTTTAAATTGGTCTTAAGTAATATTCTATATTTCTGAGATACTGATTTTGGGGTTTTCATTAGTTGTCAGTTATAATCATCAACATTAAAAGAAATAAACATTTGAAATATATCAGTCTGTGTGTAATGAATGAATATAATATACACGTTTCATTTTTTGAATGGAATTACTGAAATAAATCAACTTTTTCATGTTGTTCTAATTTTATGACCAGCACCTGTATCTATCTAATCTATGAAGGACCATCTGAGCAGGTATTTCTGAGGTGGATGGTGTTCCTTGTGTTTGTGCTGCCCTTACAGAGATTGACCACTAGGCGGCAGCAGATATTGGCTGAATTATTGAGGTCGTGGTTATCAGTTTATGATAATTTTTACTCAAATTCAAGCACATAGTAGAAAACACCTCATGAAGATTAATCCACACTCCATATTAAAATAACGAGAGGCTGAAAACCTTGTGACCATTTCAACAATTTAGATTTGATAAGATGGGCTGAATTTAGCATATCTGAATCTTTTTTATTCTAATGATTCACTAAAGTCTGACAGGATCTGTGTGTTATTTGTGTTTTTCTTGTGTCGTCTGTCCTGCCTTCCTCCGTGTTTTTCCCTCGTGTTGCCAGCTCCTGCTGCACCTGTCCCTCATTGTCCTCCCCCAGTTGTTTGTCATTATTCTCTCATTGTTGTCCTTATATATTCCACTTCTCCTTGTTGTTCCCGTCGGTGAATTGTCCTATCAAGGTGTCACGTTATGTCTCCCTCCGTGTCTTTTTGTCTCCTATCAGTCCTATGTAAGTGTTGCTGCCATGTCAGCCTTTTGTTTTTTGTTTAAGAAATTGATTTTCTTATTTTACCTCTGAGATCTCCTCATCTGTCTGCACATTGGGTTCAACAAACACACCAGATCGTAATACTCAAGGGTCTACTTTTTATATAAATAGGTAGATGTTTTTGTGGTTGTTCTCTAACCTCATAAGTAAACTGTACAGCACCATGGTTTGGTGAGCTGCTGAAGGAAGGAGACATGTTTCTTAATTTTTAGAGTAAAACCCGTGAGTTGCCGGTCGAAGAAGATGGCCACTTGTCCTGTGCCTGGTTCTGCTGGAGGTTTCTTCCTAATATGAGTGAGTTTATCCTTTCCACTGTTGTCTTGTGCAAGCTCAGGATGGGAGACTGTGACCAAGTGAAGACTTACCGCATTTTCCACCGTAACCGTCGCACCGCCCTTATACGTCGCATCAGTCCAAATATGTCTAAAAAAGTGGAAAAATCCATAAATGTCTCGCCACTGTGTATGTTGCATCTATTATGTGTCACCGCTGATGCATCATGTTTGTTACGTGTCACTGTTGACAACCTAGAAATGTGAGTCGATGTTGTGCCAAAAATCGATGGACTGCCAAATGTCGGCCGCAGGCGCGTGCACGGGAGGACTTTAATAAGAATTTAACAAGATTAACACTTAAAAACAATTGTTTGTTTGCTCGAAATTATAGTAAAGGTGTGTCACAGTCTAACTTTTACTTAATAAATGCACTGTGACGGTCAAATGTGCTGCATTTCAAAACCCAATTCGCGGAAGCGGAAGGCACGCGCAGAGGGACGAGCCTCCGCATTTCTTCAAAATTTAACAAGATGAACACTTAAAAACAATTGTTTGTTTGCTCAAAATTATAGCAAAGGTGTGTCTCAGTTGAACTTTTACTTAATAAATGCACTTTAATGGTCAAATGATTTGCATTTCGCCGGGGCGGTGCTGCTGGTTTGACTTGCTACAAGAAGCAAGCAGAACGAAGGTAGGTATATGGCAAGCCGATTGTGTCATTAATAGCTAGTAAAGATTCAGTCATCCAGGACATGGTAAATTCAAAAAGTTCAAGACAAAAACAATAAAGTATAAAGTAAAGTATAATAAATAAAGTCTAGTTGTTTTTGTATTGAACTTTTTTGAATTTGTCATTGTAGCCACATTTACATGATACAAAGGCGTGTCATAAGACTACTACTACTCTGCTGCCCTCTAGTGGCTGAAAATGTTACAGTTCTTTTTTTTTTCATCAGAATGAATGAATACGGTTATATCTCAGCCAAAAATTGGTTTATAAATATGGGAAAAAATCCATAAATACGTCGTCTCAGCCTATAAGTCGCAGGGCATGTAAATTATGAAAAAACTGTGACTTATTGGCCGAAAAATATGCCATCTGCTGGCTTCCTTCCCTCCTTCCTTAGATGGATAACTTGGCATTTATAATGCATGTTAATGTTTCTGTTCATTGCCCTTTGACAACTTCCGTTGTGACTTGGCGCTATATAAATAAACTGAATTGAGTTAAAAAGCAACAAGACAAGAAGAATTTGAAATTCAGGAGAACACCTGATCCCAGGTCATAAACAGAATTGCATCTCTGTGTAAAATAAAACAACCTTGAATTACATTTACAGTTGAACAAGTCTACAATGAAGCATTTTCTCAGAGTTCCTTCAGGATGTCGTAGCCCTGTGGGCTGGGCAGCCAGTGTGGGGGCCAGCTGCTTTTAATGCTGGCTCTGTCCTTCAGCAGCCTGTAGTATTTGGCCAGTTTGGGGTACTGTCCTGCAGACAACCTGAAGAGGAAACACAAAGTCACAGACAAATCCAAGTGGACATCTTCCAACAAACAAACACTGAACTCAGACACCTACCCGAAACGAAAGGCGTAGGCGACGTTTGGAAAGGCGACCACATCAGCTAAGGAGAAGGCCCCCACCAGGTAGGAGCCTGCAGCCACCTTGAAGCACATTTCACTTTTAGCGTGTGTGTTTACACGTGCGTGTCTGTGTTTGCGTGGTGGTCATACATTGTGTAGGTAGCTCTCCCAGAGTTTGAGCTCAATGGTCAGAGTCTCCTTGTTTCTCCTCACGGTGGTGTCATGGCGCTCCTCTTCAGGGACAAACCAGTCGCTGTAAATGACAGCGTCTAAGACAGAACAGTCAACAACAAGCGTTTTGCACCAGTTTGTTCCGGTTTTGCATCCCTGAGCGTAACTTACTGAGTTTATCAGTGAGGGTGAGAGCCTCCATCATGCGTTGGTACATCACGGCTCGCTCTGCAGGACTGTCAGGGATCAGTTTGTTGCCTTGAGACCTGAACTGGTTCTTTCACCACAGCAGACACAGAACAACATCAGCCTTTCAAACTGTCATCATAAACAAGATTCCCCATGTTTCTTTTGTTACCTCGAGGTACAAACAAGCTGCGACGGACTCGTTCACGACGACGTCCCCATGTTTGAAGGCTGGAAGCTGCAGAAAAACACTTGAATGATTTTTATTACGAAGAGCTCCTCAACTTTCTTACTCAACTCACTTCAGCACCATGATAGGTAGAAACATGCTTCACACCACTTTGGGGTTTCAACTTGTTTAAAGGTCCTGTATGTAAAATACTTCTGATTAATCAAGTTAAATTAGGTACAACTTGTTTTAGATTAATAAAAACAGAAAAACTGTGGGATGATTTTTTTAATGCAACCTCCAAAGTAAAAACAGTGTAGAGCCATCTTTTGCAGTTATACCAATAAGTCTTCATGTTAGGCTCCATGTGTGTGGTTTTCTGTGTTCTGTGCCCTCCTGTACTCCCCTGTGTAGTGTCTTCCTTGTGTTCTGCTCCTGTCAGAAGATTTGCTCCTGTCGGAAATTGTGCTACTGTTAGTCGAAGACCACGAGGAGAGAAACGTGTCAGGGGACAGCGGGAGAAGAGCAAAGTCAAGAGTGTAGGACTGAGGGTTGCAACTCTAAATGTGTAGACAATGACAGGTAAAGGTGGAGAGCTGGCTGACATGATGCAGAGAAGGAAGGTAGATGTTTTCTGTGTTCAAGAGACCAAGTGGAAGGAAAGCATGGCTCGCAGCATTGGAGCAGAGTTTAAACTGTTTTACCATGGAAATGGAGTAGGAGAGGTCCTGAAGGAGGAGTTGGCAAAGAATGTAGTAGAGGTAAAGAGAGTGTCAGATAGGATGATGTGCCTGAAGGTAGAAGTAGAAGGTCTGATGCTAAATGTTATCAGTGGTTATGCTCCACAGTTTGGATGTGATGTGGAGGAGAAAGATACATATTGGAAGGATCTGGATGAAGTGATAGAGAGTATTCTCAGGGAGAGAGTGGTGATCAGAGCAGACCTGACTGGACATGTTGGTGAAGGAAACAGAGGGGATGAGGAAGTGATGTGTAGGTTTGGTGTCAAAGAAAGAAAACAGGAAGGACAGATGGTGGTGGATTTTGCCAAGAGAATGGAAATGGCTATAGTCAGCACTTATTTCCAAAAGAGAGAGAAACAAAGAGTGACCTGTAAGAGTGGAGGAAGGAGTACGCAGGTTGACTATATTCTGTGTAGAAAAGGGAACCTGAGGGAGATTGGGGACTGTAAGGTTGTGGCAGGGGAGAACGCGGCCAGACAGCAGATGGCTGTGTGTAGAATGACTGTTGTGAAGAAGAGAAAAATAAAATCAGAGAAGAAGACCAGATGGTGGAAGCTGAGGAAGAAAGAATGTTGTGAGTTTTTTTTCCCACTTTTGAGCAAGCTGTTGCGGGAGAAGCAGTTTTGTTTGGTGTTTCCTCAAACTGATGAAGCCTTCTGGATGGAAGGTGAAATGTCTCAGCACAATGACCTGACTGAAAATTGTTGGATTTTATACCTGGATTATTGAGCATGGACTTTGTGGAATGTTGTGAGCTATTCAGAGAGGAGCTGCTGTTAAAGGCTCTGGGTGGTACGAAAGAACTTCAAAATGACTGGGCTACTACAGCAACAGTAATTAGAGAGACAGGTAGGAAGGTACTCAGTGTGTCATCTGAACAGAGAATGGATGATAAGGAAACCTGGTGGTGGAATAGTGAAGTGCAGGAAGTTATTCAAAGAAAGAGGTTAGCCAAGAAGAAATATGACAGTGAGAAGACTGAAGAGAGGAGACAGGAATATAAGGAGATGGGATGTAGAGCAAAGAGGGAGGGAGCTAAGGCAAAGCAGAAGGCGTACGATGAGTTGTATGGGAGACTGGACACTAAAGAGGGTGAGAAGGGCTTGTACCGATTGGTGAGACAGAGGGATCAGGCTGGAAAAGATGTGCATTAGGTTAAGCTTGTTAAAGATAGGAATTATAATGTTCAAACAAGTGAGGAGAGTGTGACAAGAAGATGGAAGGAGTACTTTGAGGAGCTAATGTATGAAGAGAAAGAAGAGTAGAGCTCATAGAAAATGTGGACCAGGAAATGGGAAAGATTAGAGAGGGTGAAGTCTGGAAAGTTCTCAAAAGAAGGGAAGGCAGTAGGACCTGATGACATACCAGTGGAGGTTTGGAAATGTCTTGGAGAGATGCCTCAGGAATGGAGAAGAAGTGTGCTGGTGCCCATTTTTAAGAACAAGAGTGATGTACAGAGTTGTAGCAGCTACAGGAAAATTAAGTTGATGAGCCATGCAATGAAGAACCAGGAGAGAGTTGTGGAAGCAAAACTTAGACGAGAGGTGACTGTGAGCAGCAGTATGGTTTGATGCCAAAAAAGAGCACCACAGATGCCATCTTTGCTTTAAGGATGGTGATGGAGAAGTACAGAGAGGGTCAGAAAGGACTCCATTGTGTTTATGTGGTTTAAGAAAAAGCTTATGACAGAGTGCCGAGGAAGGAGGTGTGGTATTGCACGAGGAAATCTGGAGTGGCAGAGAAGTATGTTAGACTGGTACAAGACATGTATGAGGACAGCAGGACAGTGGTGAGATGTGCTGTAGGAGTGACAGATAGCTTCAAGGTGGGGGTGGGATTGCATCAAGGATCAGCTCTGAGCCCCTTCTTGTTTGCTCTGGTGATGGACCGACTAACAGATGAGGTCAGGCAAGAATCCTCATGGACTATGATGTTTGCAGATGACATTGTGATCTGAACACGTGGAAGAGAACTTGGAGAGGTGGAGGTATGCACTTGAAAGAAGAGGAATGAAAGTCAGCCTAGTAAGACAGAGGACATGTGTGTGAATGAGAGGGAGGAGGTGGAACAGTGAGGCTACAAGGAACAGAGGTCACAAAGGTGCAGGACTTCAAGTACTTGGGCTCCACTGTCCATGAAAATGGGGAGTGTGGTAAAGAGGTGAAAAAGAGAGTCCAGGCAGGATGGAGAAAAGTTTCAGGAGTGATTTGCGACAAAATAGTGTCAGTAAAGGTCAAAGGAAAAGTTTACAAGACAGTGGTGAGACCAGCTATGCTGTATGGTCTGGAGAGAGAGACATGGACAAAAAGACAAGAGACAGAACTGGAAGTGGAAGAAATGAAGATGTTGAGCTTCTCCTTATGAGTGACAAGGCTGGATAAGATTAGGAATGAGATCATCAGAGTTACAGCACAGGTTAAACAACTGGGAGATAAAGTTAGAGAGGACACACTGAGATGATTTGGACATGCCCAGAGGAGGGACAGTGGGTATATTGGTAGAAGGAAGTTAGAAATGCAGCTGCCAGGAAAAAGACAAAGAAGAGATATATGGATGTAGTTAGAGAGGACATGGAGGTAGTTGGAGTGAGGACAGAGGATGAAGAGGACAAAGTGAGATGGAGGAGGATGACTCGCTGTGGAGACCCCTGAAGAGGGAAAATCCAAAAGAAGAAGAAAGAAGTGTCCAGCTCCTGTCACACCTGTCCTTAATCCTAATCACCCCAGGTGTTTGTCCTTCTCCCTCATCAGTGTCTCTATATATTCTGTGTCCTTGCTTCTTGTCAGTTGTCTGTGGATTGTCCTTTGGAAGGCTTTCATGTCCTGTCTCTCTCCGTGTGTCATCTACTCCTTCAAAGTAGGTTTTGCTGCCTCACCAGCATTTTGTTTTGTTTAGTTAAAATAAACATTAATTACTCATTTTACCTGGAGTCTCCCATTGCCTTCTTTCATGTGGGTTCTAATTTATGGCAGAGCATGATACCATGAGCTTCATACGTCTAACCACTGGACATTTTGTCTACTGTTTATGTCCAAACTGCTCCTTCAGGTGGTGTTTGCACCCGACAATCTTTTAATCAAACCAGAGACTCTGGTTGGATTCAGGTCTGGGCTTTGACTGAACCATACCAGTTTCTCTTCAGTGGTGTGTTTAGGGTCGTACTGAGCGGTCAACCTCCACCCCAGTCTCAAACACCTAAAAGACTCACTTTACCTCTTAATATTTCTACATTTTCCTCCATCCATCTTTTCTTAAATGCTAACCAGTTTCCAGCTGAAAAAAAAAACCTCTTCACATTATGATAGTACCACCACCATGCTTCACTATGTGCATGTTGTGAACACAATGAGGTGACATAGAGATGTTCTTGGTGGCTTACAAGTTTAATTTTAGTCTCATCTGACCATATTTCCAGTGATCTGACGGGTTTTTTTCTGCTTCTTTCATCCCGTCAAATTTTGTGCAGCGTCTAATGGTCCCATGGACAAAAACTTAGTTATATACTTATCATAAACTTTTGATCTGTATGTAAAATGTGTAGACTTAACAAGTACATAGAATGAGTATTAAAACAATACTCATCATCAACATACTATGTGTTGACGATATAATAATCAGTAAGATCTAAATTCATGAGGGTGCTACGCCTACCTGTCCTCTTGGGTTAATTCCCAGCACTTCTTTAGTTTTATGCTCGTCTTTCTCAAAGGATAACAGCTTGTGTTTGTAGCCCTGCAGCTTCTTCTCCTCCAGGGTGATCATAACACGCCAGCAGGGGGGGGATCCAGCCCCCCACAGCAGATTCATTGACTTTGCCATGTAAGAACGCAACACAGAAACAGACCTTAACTAACAAGTTGGTGAAACACGAACGGGAGTTTACGGCGTCCCATTGATCCAAAAGTTGGTGGGTGGACCCCCCCCCCCCCCACACACACACACACACAAACATGTTAATGTATAACTCAGATTTGAAAGAAGAGAACAATGACGGGAACATTCACTTGTTTTTATTGCAGAACGTGAGTACACAGCACTTCAAGTGAAAGCGTTTCGTTTTCATCTCACACACTTCGTTCCTCCAAACCAAAACTGCTCCATGTCCTGTTCAAGTTCAGTAAAAACATACGAGACCACAGATTTCGAAATGAAAGTCCTAAATCTGCTCCGGACTCTCAGCAGGGAGCAACATATAAAAAAACAAAAAAAAAAAAACAAAAAAAAAAACAGCTCTGAGTTGCGTCTTTTATGGGTTTTCTCTTTAAATACAATTCACAGAAATGCCTCCTTTCTCTTAGACTATAATACAAGTTTCTACAAAGAAAATACACAACCTCACTACACATGCAAGACGAGGACATTTAAACATTTTATGCCGTTTCCTATGTGTCCATCAAGACGCTTAAAAAGTTAATATCTTTTTGTCTCTTTTATACTTTACAAAAACTTCCTCAGAGAAAAAAAAACCCAACACTTCTTTTTTTCCTGCGTCAGTTAAGGTGCAAAATGTCTGAGTGTTTCAAATAAATACTGAGAACGCTGTTCCTGCAAATGTGACGGCTTTGAGCCACTGGAGCGGCAGTCATGTCGTGAAAAGGTGCAGCGTCGGCCCTTTTTAAAGAAAGGCACTTGTCAGACTGAAACCTTTCCCGTTCCTATAAAACACACTAACTATTGTGCAGCTGCAGAAGCAAAGATCTGCATTGATAATACTTGTAAAACATGTAATTCTGTCTTTGTTTCAGGGAGATCATTTGGAATCTTTAATAACAATTTAAAAACAAATTTGAAAAATTTGCTCTTTCGCCAACAAAAGTTCACAGCTTCAAAGAAAATTATCCCTTAGGAATAATTTGAAAACAAGTTTGAATAAATTCAGTATCTGGAAGAAATTCTGACCTCCACTGTCTCTCTTAAAATACAATTTTTACTTTGTCTTTTTCAACAAACGTACACAAAATAAAATAAAAATACGATCACATTGGCAGCAGCTTCACTCAAAAATAGTCAAGACTAGCAGCTGGCAAAACCCTGAAGAAGCTGGTGGACTAAGAACCCTCAAAGTGTGGTGGAGACAGACAGAAGTGTCCTGCTGAAGTGTACAGCTGCATTTCCACAGGTGGGAGGCAGGAGGTAAGATTTCATTTCATGTCTCTGGAGAATCCGTCAGCCCCAAAGCAAGTGCTTCTTCTGGAGTCAGGCCATTCTTCAGAGTCCGCCTCACTGCGAGGAGACAGGAGAGGACAAAGAGTCAGAGACCAAACATCCTACTGTCTCTTTTGTCTCTCGTTTTATTTTCATGGCTTCTGGATTAAACCTGTTGTTTAAAAATAAAAAGGTGTGGCATTCCTTGAAGGAGTTCAAACCAGTTTCAAACAAGCAGTACGCAGATGTCTCCTGTCACTGACGGATTTGAATAATTAGTGTTTGTCGTTTTGGAGATGAGTGTTTTTCTGGACTGGAAGTGAAGAGAGAATGAAGTAAACCTTGATGTTTTTGGTCAAATTCATTCAAATGGATGATACACGAGATACATACAGTATATAAAACTAGAAGTGGTTTATTTATTTATTTTGCTTGTCCAAGGTGACAAATCCTAGAGAGTGAAGGGAGCAATTTTATCCACTACCAGGTGCAATAGTGGAACCAGAGGGTGGCCAGTGGTGGCCTTGGCCACCATAGACTAATCTTCAGCCATCTGAAGGGCCACCCCATAATTTAAGGAAACTATACTTTTAAGCAGTCTTCTCCTTCTTGAATCACCATATTATCGTGGGGAAGGAGTTTGTGTGCCTGAATGGTCCTAGGAGCTATGCTGTCGGGGGCAATTATATTTGCCCCTAGTAGGGCCTCCCAAGGTAGATCAGGCCTAGGTGACAGGCCAGACAGAGAGAGATCCCAAAGACTTTTGATTGACAATATAAATCAAGGAATTCTGTGTCCCTTGCTCAGACACGGGTTACCGGGGCCCCACCATGGAGCCAGGTCTGGGGGAGGGGCTCGTCGACGAGCAACTGGAGATTGGGTCTCTAACCATAGGGAAGGGGCCTGAGCTTGTGCATGATGTTGAGAGTACCGACTAGAAATAGTTGAGCTCATCTCGGTGCACAGCATGGGCTCTGGAACTAATCTCCTTGAGAGGAGTTGGACCTTATTCCACTCTGGAGTTGCCCATGGTGAAACGGGCTGAGCTAGTGTGAGTCTACTCTTAGCCCCCCAAATTGGTGCTTGTGTGTTGGAGATTTCCCCAGTAGACGAGAAGGTAGCTTCCCTGCACCTTCAATTGGGGGAATGGGCTCGGACTGTTGCTTGTGCCTATGTGCCAAATGGCAGTTCAGAGTATCCAGCCTTCTTGGAGTCCTTGGTGGGGTTCTGGAAGGTGCACCAGCTGAGGACTCCTATGTTCTGCTGGGGGACTTCAATGCCCACATGGGTAATGACAGTGTGACCGGGAGGGGCGTGATTGGGAGGAATAGCCTCCCTGATCTTAACTCAAGCTGTGTTTTGTTGCTGGACTTCTGTGCTAGTCATAGTTTGTCCATCACAAACACCATGTTTGAAAATAAAGGTGTCCTTAAGTACACTTGGCACCAGGATGCCCTAGGTCATATATTGATTGTTGACTTTGTAGTTGTGTCAACTGATTTGCGGCTGTTTGTTTTGGACACTTGGGTTAAGAGAGGAGCTGAGCTGTCAACTGATCACCACTTGGGAGTGAGTTGGATTAGATGGCAGGGGAAGATGCCGGACAGACCCAGTAGACACAAACATGTAGTGAGGGTTTGCTGGGAATGCCTGGCAGAGTCAGAAAGAACTTCAACTCACACTTCTGGGAGAGATTTAACTGCATCCCAGCTGAGGCAGGGGACATTGAGTCCGAGTGGGACATGTTCCACGACTCAATTGTTGAAGTGGTTGCCTTGAGCTGTGGCTGCAAGGTTGTCGGCGATTCTCGTGGTGGACATCCTTGAACTCGGTAGTAGACACGCCGGGTTAGAGAGGCTGTCAAGTTGAAGAAGGAGTCCTATCAGTCTTTGTTGGCTGTTGGGACTCCAGAGGCAGCTGATGAGTACCGGAGGGCCATGTGGTCTGCAGCCTTGGCTGTTGCTGAGGCAAAAGGTCAGATGTGGGAGTAATTCGGTGAGGCCTTGGATAGACTCTCAGTTGGCCCGAAGAGATTCTAACAAACCAACAGGCAGCTGAGGAGGGGAATGCAACACTTTACTAAGTGTTCAGTGAAGGTGGGGGGCTGTTGACCTCAACCAGTGATGTCATCGGGAAGTGAAAGGAAGTGACCTTCTCAATTCCAATAGCACGGCTTCCATGGAGGACGCGGAGTTGGGTGTTTTCAGAGTTGGTCTGTCCATAACAATGGCTCAGGTTGCCGAGGTAGTTAAAAAGCTATGCAGTGGCAGGGCTCTGGGGGTGGATGAGATTCACCCTGATTTCCTTAAAGCTCTGGATGTTGTGAGGCTGTCTTGGCTGACATGCCTTTGTAACATTGCGTAGATATCGGGGGCAGTGCCACTGGACTGGTAGACTGGGGTGGTGGTTTTCCTCTTCATAAAAGGGGACTGGAGGGTATGTTCCAAATACAGGCACATCACTCTCCTTAGCCTCCCTGGTAAGGTCTATTCAGGGGTACTGGTGAAGCGAGTCTGATCGTTGGTTGAACCTCAGATTCTGGAGGAACAATGTGGATTCTGTCCTACCCATGGAATACTGGACCAGCTCTTTACCCTCACTAGAGTCCTCGATGGGTCATGGGAGTTTGCTCTTCCAGTATACATGTGTTTTGCGTGTTCCTCCGGGTACACTGTGGGGGTGGGGGGTGGGGGTTGCTCCATGAGTATGGGATTGGGGGCCCATTGTTACAGGCTGTTCAGTCCCTATACAAGCAGTGCGAGAGATTGGTTCACACGGCCGGTAGTACGTCAGACGCCTTCAGGGTGGGAGTTGGACTCCGCCAGGGCTGCCCGTTGTCATCGATTCGGTTCATAACTTTTATGGACAGAATTTCTGGTGCAGCCAGGGGGCGGAGGGGTTCCAGTTTGGTGGCCTCAGGATTCCATATCTACTCTTTGTAGATGATGTGGTCCTGTTGGTGTCATTGTGCCGTGATCTTCAGTTCTCACTGGAGCGGTTCACAGCCGAGTGTGAAGTGGCTGGGATGAGAATCAGCACCTCCAAATCTGAGGTAATAGTCCTCAACCGGAAAAGAGTGAATTGCTCTCTTCAGGTAAAGGGTGAGGGTAGTGACCGAAAGAATGAGATTTCAGATACAGGCGGTTGAAATGAGTTTTCTCTGCAGGGTAGCTGGACTCTCCCTTAGAGATAGGGTGAGAAGTTCAGTTATTCGGGAGAGACTCAGAGTAGAACCGCTACTCCTCCACGTCGAGAGGAGCCAGTTGAGGTGGTTCGGGCATCTGGTAAGGATGCCCCCAGGGCGCCTCCCTAGAGAGGTGCTTCGGGCATGTCCAACTGGGAGGAGACACCGGGGAAGACCCAGGACACGCTGGAGAGACTATGTCTCTTGGTTGGCCTGGGAACGCCTTGGAATCCTCCCGGAAGAGCTGGAAGAGGTGGCTGTGGAAAGAGATGTCTGGGCCTCCCTGCTCAAGCTGCTGCTCTCGTGACCCGAGTTCGAAATAAGTGGAAGATAATGGATGGATGGATGGATGGATGGATGGGGCAGCACGGTGGCGCAACTGGTAGAGCTGCTGCCTCTCAGCAAGCAGGTCCTTGGTTCAAACCCCGGTCCAGGGGCCTTTCTGGGTGGAGTTTGCATGTTCTCTCCATGCATGCGTGGGTTTTCTCCAGGTACTCCGGTTTCCTCCCACAGACCAGAAACATGCATGTTAGGTTGAATGGTAACTCCAAATTGTCCCTAGGTGTGAATGAGAGAGTGAATGGTTGTTTGTCTCGTTTGTCTCTATGTGGCCCTGTGATGGACTTGTGACCCGTCCAGGGTGTACCCCGCCCCTCGCACAGTGATTGCTGGACATGGGCACCGGCGACCCCCGTGACCCAAAATGGAAGAAGCGGGTAAAGATAATTGATGGATGGATGGATGGATGGATGGATGGATGGATGGATGGATGGATGGACGGATGGATTAATATATACATATATGGTGACCATCTTTGATTCTGACGTGGCAATCCAGTTTTCAATATGGACCTTTCATTTGCCTAGATGTACTGTAGCTATACACCAAAATGGAAATTTGTACTTCTCTTATTTTTTAAGGTATCAATCATGCTTACATTACAACACACAGCCGAGCAGATGGATGGTTGAACAGAGGATTTTTCTAATTCCCCCTCTTCGCTCCACAACGAGTGACAACAATGCACTTGAGCAAATAATTAATGCTTGGAGTATGTGTTGTGAATCACTTTCAAATACTACACTCCAAATATATTCTAAATATCTGTAAGATTGACTAACTTACAGCCTTTTTAAAAATGACTAAGGTCAATTAGCTGTGACAGCCATCATGAATTGAGTTGACTGTAAAAGGTAAGAGATTCACTTAACTCTGTCCAGTGGTTCTTGAAATGTTTTCTAACAGATATACACACGAACACGAATAGAAACCTGAGCAAAATCATTTTTGCTAGGGGGATAATGATTATGTACGAGGATTCAAGAATTCAAGGTTCTTTATTTGTCATTCCACCACATGTGGTGGAACAAAATTATGTACACAGTGTCCCAGTTACATCCAATAAAAGTATTAAAATGTAAATTAAAAACAGTAATAAGATCTAAGGTACGAAGTAAGAAAAAAAAAGAGAGAAAAATGAGGAACTCTGGCTCACATGATTTCCGGTTGGCCCTGGATCTCCTCCTCTCTCTGGGCTGTGATCTGGTTCCTGGACCCTGAGTGGCGGACCGCACAATCTGCTCCATGATTTCATCAGCAGCATCATCTCCACAGCTCTGAGTGTCTTCCATAGCCGGTGTCCACGCCTGCATGGTGCGACCTGCAGAAACAGAAAAGAAGAGCTCAGGGTTGTGCAAATGCCCCCTCTTTTTGAGTCCACTGGTCTTTCCTCACCTCCTCGTCCGGGTCGTGACCTGGTCCGGGTTCGAAGGCCGGGCACAGCGCTGACCTCCTTGTCACTGCTGCTCAGACTGGTTCTCAGCACCGCCTTCATGTGTTCGTGTTCTGCTGCGTCCTCAGTGTGGCCCAGACCCTGAGGCTGATTGCTCTCCTGGCTGCCACCGGGGGCGCTGTTGTTGCTGCTGCTTGATCCGTGCCGACCCGGCTGAGAGAAGAAACAGATGGGCGGAGCTTCAGGATTGGTTGGTTTTGAACTTTTAAATGCAGCATGCTGATGTTAAATCATCAAGAAAGACATCCAACCTGTAAAGATTTTAAAACCGTCTGTTTTATTGTTCGGTTCACTCAGATGTGAAAGAAAAAGTTAGCATCAATCCACACAGGCAAGCACACACGTGCACACAGGCAGGCAAACATCTTGATACCTCATGCTCGTCTTCATCGTCAGACTACAGTGGAGAGGAAGATTTAAATCAAACAACACAAAGAAACAGGAGGAAAAGAAGTGAAAAGAAGCACAACGTTTGGAAAAAGGCGAAGCAAAGGGATAATTTTTGTCATGGAGTCTGAGTGTGCGACGCTCACCGGAGCGTTCACGTCCATGATCAGCTTCCCCCGGGTCTTGTTGCGCTCGCGGTGATCAGCTCGCTTCTGTTTCTGCTGCAGGACGCGCTCGCGGGTGGTTCGGTACTCCAGTGCGAACTCACTGAGGACTTTACTGAACCTGTTGACGCTGATCTCTCTCACGCTGTAGGCCGGGTGACCGAGGTACAACAGGAAGGAATGAAACCTGGAAGGAGAAGGAGCGCAACTCCTCCGTCAACATTGTACTGCCAAAAACATGAACGACTAATACTCAGCAGGAGCAGGACTACCTGTTGATTAGTCTGCGGTGAACAATCTTCAGGATGATGATTCTTTCTGCGCAGTCTTTGAGGAAGTCAGACATCTTCTGCTTTAGCTGAGGCTTCATCTCATGCTTGGCGATCACCTTCAGGTGGTCCCATGAGGCTTTGCAACGCCGCTCCATCTGACACAAGTTCTCTTGCAGCTGGTCAAAGTCCACCTGATGGAAATGGTTGACAAACGTAAGAAAAGAGATGCTTTTAATTTAACGTACAATGCAGGGAAAACAGTTTTTTAATCTGGAGTAAAAGTTTAGGTGAAGATGTTAAAAAAAAATTCACTTAACGCATCTACAGTAAACAAATCTACATTTTGCACATGTTGTTCTTAAAACATGGTTAAATTCTTTTTTTTTTACAGTGTTTTATGATTAAAAATTCACTTTTGTAAAAATATTGAATAACCAGAAACCAGCAGCAGACTGATGTTTTTATATTTGATTTAGACTTTGTCAAAAAGGCGGCACGGTGGTGCAGTTGGTAGAGCTGTTGCCTCTCAGCGAGACGGTCGCCCATTCAAATCCCAGCCAGGGGCCTTTCTGGATGGAGTTTGCATGTTCTCTCCGTGCATGTGTGCATTTTTTCCAGGTACTCCAGTTTCCTCCCACAGACCAAAAACATGGTCCCTAGATGAGAGAGAGAGAGTGAATGGTTGTTTGTCTCTATGTGTCCCTGTGATGGACTGGAGACCTGTCCAGGGTGTCCCCCAACTCTTGCACAGTGACTGCTGGATATGGGCACCAGTGACCCCTGCAACACGAAAAGGTAAACATACTGGATGGATGAATGGAAGTCCACAAAATGAAACCCCTGTAAACACTTTGTTTTTTCATTGTTTTAAATTTCTATTAAAAACAATATTTCTTTACTTTGAGAAACAAGATATTGTTAGATGTGTATAGTTTATTAGAATGTATCCAATATCTTTATGAAACAAAAACAAGCTTGATCAAAATAAATTTCATAGTGGGAAAACCTTCAGGGCCATGAAGACATTCACAGAAGATCCTGTGTGGACTTAAACTTAAAATAAAAGTCTTTTAAAAAGAAACAAATGACAAATAGGCTTACATATCTGTAACACAAAAATGTGTTTTCTATCTGACTCTAGCATGTGGGGACCATCAACATACTGTAATTAGTCGTGGAAATCTGTGACTATAAAGGCAATTTATACTGTAACGGCCTTTGAAACGCTAAAGTCATAGACAGAGTCACAGTGTGAACTCTTTTGCTTTGGATTGAGCAATTTAGTAACTTGCTGACAGGAAGGGCTTCTCCTATTGTCATCCTTCATGTATGTCACCTGATTTATGGTGCCATTTTTTAAACCGTTACCAAAAACAACCTGAACATAAATGTCAACCCGACACTGAACAGCAAAACGACAGAGACGACCCATCTGAATACTTAACCTGAAAGAGTCCACCCATTTCTGTACCACGATTACCCAGAAAAACATGTGGCTCACACAGTCCTTTATATTCATGTACAACACGTGATTTCAATAATTCACATCGAAATTTAACAGTAACTCATAGAACATAGAGTTTAATCCTGTAAAGAAACCAAAACATAACTTTAAATTTGAAAATTATCCAAACATTATCTTCATCCGTTTCTTCCTTTTTGGGTCGCAGGGGTCACTGGTGCCCATATCCATCCATCACTGTCTGAGAGATGGGGGACACCCTGGACAGGTCTCCAGTTCATCACAGGGACACATAGAGACAAACAACCATTCACTCTCACTCACACCTACGGACAATTTAGAGTTACCAAGCAGTCTAACATGCATGTTTTTGGACTGTGGGAGGAAACCGGAGCACCCGGAGAAAACCCACGCATGCACGGAGAGAACATGCAAACTCCACCCAGAAAGGTCCCTGGCTGTGATTTGAACCGTGACCTTCTGGCTGAGAGGCAACAGCTCTACCAACTGCGCCACCGTGCCACCTCGCCAAAACTCATCCATGGAAAACTTAATTTGACCTTCATTTTATAGAGCAACAACAATTTTGGTGTGGAACTTAGAATTTACAGGTTGCAATAAAATGCATCGCACATTAAAAACAACAACAACAAAACTTTGCAAAGCGTTCTTGAAGTCCTGAGTCTCGTTTTGTTGGTCCTGCCTACTCTACATCATCATCCTGAATGGTTAATTTACCTGTCAGTTATTAAACAAACCCATCCGAGAGCGGCTCGACTGAGTTCGGCCTTCTCTAATGAGAGTGAAGGCCTAAGCTACGAGAGCTCCTTCTGTTTCTGCCTGGAGACAAATCTACGTTCATGAATAAAAAATAAATAATCTGGCTTAATTGCATGTAGTTTACAGAAATAAAGAGAAATGAGCAATAAAAAAAACATTGAAAATATTTATTTTATATAAAATAAATAAAATAATTTGATTCACATTTGATATATGCTGATTTCTTAGGCCTTCTCTAAAGGGGTTGAAGGCCCTGAGGTTCCCCCACTAGTAACTAGACAAAGTAACGGAAGCCAGAAATTGAAGCCACAAAGTTGAGCACCCTCTAGTGGCCGGTTGCCATTTAACGTTTAAGTCCCTGTCACAGGGGTGTCGAACTCTAACAAAAGGGGGTCAAATCTAAAAACTTTGTCCAAGCCACGAGCCAGTTTTAGTCAATGCCTTACCTCAAATCAGCTGCCCAACACTTTTTCTTGGTTGCAGGTTCATCAATGGGCGTTTCATTGTTCCCATTTGATGCCATTTGTTGCTTTTTCCACAACTAAATCAAAGATGACTGAAAAATCCAATTGTTTTTCTGGCTTCAAAGTTAGCCAATGGTCGTGTGAAATCTGCACTAAATGAAGTATGCTCTGTACTTTTTTAGCTAATGAGAAGCACTGCAATTATTTTAAATTTAAAATATCATCTTGGGAGGGGCAGATAAGATGTTAACAAGGGCCAGATTTGGCCCGTGGGTCTTGAGTTTGACACGTGTGAAACAATGCACTTGGTAAAAATAATGTAAAAAAAATTCACCTAAGATCATTTTTAGGTAACTTTTGATTATTCAAGTAGTTACATTTTTGCTGTGTGTTCAAATATAAATCTTTCTATTACATTTGGCTGTAATTAGTTAAGTCATACTTAAAAACAGGAACTCTATTACCAATTATTGAGTGCAGGAGAATAGGCAGGACTTTCAGCTCAACATCTCTGGTGCATGGACGAAGTTCTAAACACAACTTGGCAGTGCCTAAAAATAGGATCTCATGGTTTTAGCTTTCAACAACAGAAAAATGCAGGACTCTTCGTTGAGATTTCTTTATGACCGATGTTCTCACACACTAGTTGAATGACTGTTGAAGGTCTGTCTTATTTGTTATATGATGTCATGACTAATGTATTTAAATAGGATAAATCAAAGTGTTAGAGTTGGGAACAGCGCACATGCAAGTTTTCCAAATAAAGGACCGGAGCACACCTTAGCACAGCGTGTGATGGCTCCGATCTCAGAGTAGAGGTCGGTACTCTCGGGGAAGTTTTCCACCACCGCGGAACAGGCGTGATGGAGCAGAGACTGCTTATGGACTGTGTCCTTCACTTCTGGAACTTTCTCCAAATATGTCAACTCAAAGCCTTTGGCCTGGAAATTCAAAAAAGGTGTGCTACTTCTTAAAACTTCAAAGAAATCACCACTTTCAAGTAAAGTTTATTTCCCAGTAAGTGATGAGGGGAACCTGCAACAGTCGTGACTCACGTTGGTGCCGTTGAGGAAATTTCCAATTGTGAGCAGCGTGGAGAGGATGTACCGAAGAGTTTTGTTCTTTACCAGCTGCTCCATGCCTTCCTTTAGATCCTGCAGTGGCTCTGCAACTTCCTAAGAGGACACACACACACGCACACACACAGAACATGATTAATCCAGCTAGTCAACATGTGTTCCGTTAGTCCGTAGGTGGAGAAGGGGTTCTCTGCAGACCAAAAGTGGGCGTTTCTGGAGAATAGGCGTTTGTAGAGGACAAACACTGATTGTCTGGCTGTATTTTCTGGCTCTTTAGGTAAGTTACATCAGCTCTTTTTTAAAACTGAAGGTTTCTAAAAAACAGTGTTAAATCTACTGTCAAACACAAGAAGATTCTCTTTAGTTCTTGGTTGTAGCTGCACCTGACACAGGTTGTCTTGAGTGTGGTCTGGGTAAAATGAGATATGAAGCATCTGAAGCAAAACCTGCTCCATTTGTCAAAAAGTCTGGTCTCAGTTAAAGATCATGAGTCCTGTGACGAGATAATGTCCCAAAACAAACGCTAAAAACAAAATGTTCTCTTTAGAAGTTCTTCTATGAATCTGATCTATGGAAGGATCTGAAACATGGAGTAGGATCGACCCTTAAAATGTGAGACAGCTGAGGAAGTTAACCAGTAAACAGAAATACCTGCTCCAGTTACAGAAATCTGACAGAAACTGACAATCACTCATCTGCAGTGACTGATTTAAAAGTTGAACAAGAAAATGTGAATATCCTGATACATGCTCAATAATCCAGGTAGAAAAATCCAAAAAAGTTCAATCTGGTCCTCTGGACATTCAAAAAAAAAAAAAAAACAAAGCAAAAAAATATAGAAACGTTTCGTCTCTCATCCGAGAGACTTCCTCAGTCTGAGGTGCTGTTTTCAGCTCAGTCTCTTAAATAGCACCTTCTCAGAGTGGATCAACCAGTTTGTTGCTGACAACCAAAACCAGCTGATCACATGCTCAAGAAGGACCATCAGCCTAACAATGGATCATTAGCACACTGATGGCTGTTTACTACTCACAGAGGGCTGAGTGATACCAGCAATCACAGCATTGTAAGAGGGGGACAGTTGAACCCGGAGGCCTCCACCCCTGTTTAATGATGGACGATTTCTTTTCACAAAGATGGCCTCCTTTACTCCTCTCTCAAACCATCGTTCCACTCTTTCAAGGATGAAGATGTTCACATCCTGGACAGAGAGGAACGATGGTT